TGATGACGTGTGTGTGTGTGATTATGGCAAAGCCTCGAGGGCTATCTGCCTAAGGGGAGGGATGCCTTCGTGGAGGACTTTCTAAGGGAAACTGGCTCGTATACACGTTACACATGGGGAAAACCACGAAAACGCCCATGCAGCCAGCCCGTTCGCGGGATTCGAACCTCGGACCGAACTACCAGTGTTCAGCGACTTTACCGCTCGGCCGCTGGTGGGCGTATAATGATGACGAGTTTGCGAAATGGTTTTCATGCAGGAGACAAGGCAGTCGACACTGGTTGCATCATTTTTTGAAACGTTTAGCTGAAAGAATAATTCCAAATTCGTAACCTTATTAGTTCCTCTTTTTTCTTTTCCCTTTCCTAATAACTATTCGCTAAAGAAAATTTTAATTTAAAATTTCATGAGATATTATCTGACATCTTCAGGAACTTAAAACCTGAAAACTTTTCTGACAGTTTTTTAAAAAATTATGTTAATAATGTTATTCTTACTCAAGCAAAATAGTAAATTAGCGTATATTTCTTAATCTGATTTTAGAGTGGAAAATATAGTTTTAATATTAAACGTATTGTAATATATTTAAGAGGACGAACTAATTTTATCACAGTGTAATAGCAATATGGAAATTTAGATAGATTATTATGCTGCTTGGACTTATTATTTTATTTTTTAAATTTTTTCTTTTACTTAAATTTTTTTTAATATTTACTTTTATTCTTTGTAGTGCTATTGTGCATTTGTTTATTTATTTTTTTAGTGCTATAATTTAATTGTGAAGCCTTTGGTGAACATGAGCTGATCCGTAGGATATATTATATTATCATCTTCATATATTTTCCTAAATAAGGCTCAAAATGAAACTTTTCTTTAATATTTTCATCAAATTTCTTTAACTTAATTCGCTGAAGTTTAAATTTTCGTTTTTGCCCGATATATGTTTTGTATCTTTCAAATAGTTACAAACGTAAATTATTATTTTGTTTATATTTCAATAATGCGTGCCGAATTTCATTTTTGACGCATTTGTAATTGTGCGAGTTTTTAATAGTTAGGTTCTGGCAACAGTAAAATATTGCTAAGTCTGTTCTATTTATGCTGTGCTTTTGAGTTATAATAAGAAAAGGTATATTTTTGTGATATTTAAAGATGCACATATTGAGTTTCAATGTGCTTACGTGTAATAAATGTGTTTTATTAAACAACTTGGAGTTTTAGTGAATCCTTATTGACTTTGGAGTATTTTTGAGAGGCAATTATTTGTCAACTGGCGTCCGCGACAGGATTGGAACTGCAACTAAAAGTAAGCAATTTCTTTTCCTCATTTTTAAGTATGGAAGTTTTAAAACTAGCCCGTAAGTAACATCGTACAGTACTTTCTAAATCGTGTAATGAATTTGATCAAAGAGAAAATAATTTAAGTGACGAAGAAAAAATTTTAGAATTAAGGGTTATTCAAGAGAAATCAAAATCAATGACTTCAGCTGAAAACGATTTTAAGCAAGAGTTATTTAGGCAAGTTATAAAGTATTTCTCCCACTTCCCTAGCGTGCCTTCGTGGTGTAACGGTAGCACGCTGGGTCGGTAATCCAGAGGTCCTTGGTTCGATTCCCGGCGAAGGTGGTTTCTTATTTTTCATCTTGTCTGCTTCCAATTAACCTAATGACTCTACAAAGTTATACATGAAAAATATTATCGAAAAAGAGATTGATGAGTCAGAATCATATTTAGATAGATAGAGAAAGTTAGAATATAAGATGGATAAATTATTGCAAGTGTCAGAACAGAAAACTTCTGGTTTACATATAGAATGTTCGTCAATTTCGCAAATTATTAATACAATGAATTACCAACATTTAATGGTGATTTAAAAAATTGGCTTAATTTTTGGGGACAATTTAAGAAAATTGATGAGGACCCTAATATTGGTAATCAAGATAAAATTCATATATTTATCACAGGCCATGCAAAAAAGTTCTGTTGCAGAAGAATTAATTGAAAGTTTCCCGCCAAGCGGCGAAAGTTATGAGAAAGCTGTAAAACAATTACATGCGCGTTTTGGAAAGGATGAACTGTTAATTCAAGTTTATGTAAGAGATTTATTGGCTTTAATACTTCAAAAGCAAAACACACCAGGGTGGCCTTTAAGAAAACTTTATGACCAGTTGGAATCTAAACTTCGTGCTTTGGAAGTTCTAGGGGTTACTAGAGATAAATATGCAGCCATGCTTGTTCCTCTTGTTAAGTCTTCTTTGCCTGATAAGACACTTAGAGCATGGAAAAGTTACCGAGCAGTTAATCGTAGAATCTAGAGATTTAAACCCACAGTCGGGGGAAAATTCTGAGCAGTCAAAAATAATCGAGAAAAGTGATCTAGATTATTTACTTGAATTTCTTCAAGATGAAGTAGAATCGGAAGAGCGAATATCTCTAGCTTCCCAAACATTTGATCAAAAGAAGCCTATGATAACAAATGCAGTGTTAAAATTCCTTTTGAAAATAAAATCAGAAGTACTAAATCGAAATTTGGCAATTCATTGCCTGTGCCTAGTGCTTCCGAACTGTTTACATCAGCCCAAGGGAAAAAATTGTGCATATTTTGTTTAAATCCTCATAATTCTTGGGATTGTAGGAATGCAAAAAATACACCTCTAAATGAGAGAGAAGCTATTGTTGGGAAATCGCGTTGCTGCTTCCTCTGCCTGAGACATGGACACCGACTAACGAAATACTCGGTGTCCATGTCTCGAAATGTTATGAGAAATAGAGTTGCGTACTGTGTGGGAAAAGACATCATGTACTTCTATGCAGAAATATAGCTACAGTAAGTGCACAACATTCTAATAAAAAGAAACTGAGTCTATTAAAACTGATTTAGAGAGAGATCAGGCACTTTCCAATGTATCAAGTGCACCGTTACAAACATTAACTGTGATTTTAAGATGCAATGGTAAAAAGCGTAAAGCTCGAGCCATTATTGATTCTGCCTCTCAGAGGTCTTACATTTTGAGTAAAACAGCTAAAGAGATGGGGTACAAAGCCTTAAGAAATGAATACCTTTAACACTCACTGTTCGTAGGAAGTAATACTAAAATGTATAAACATGATGTGTTAATGATATATTTATCAAATATGAAGTGTACATATAATTGTCATTTTGTAGCATTAAGCCAACCAGTAATATGTGATACCATGCCACCAGTAGCATCGGAATTGTGAATTGAAAAGAACTTGACTTAGGCATTTAATCCTGATGATAAGGAATGCGGACCTATAAGAAATTTTAATTGGAGCTGACATATCAGGCAAGTTGATGACTGGCGGTTATAAACTTCTACCCAGTGGTCTTGCAGCCATTGAAACAAAACTAGGATGGACGATTATAGGTCGCATCCCAACAGCATCGTCCAGTGAGAGTATAACTTTAATTTCAATGTTAAATAAAAATGCTTGTATAACAAATTTGTGGACATTAGAGAGTTTAGGTATCAGAGACCCATCAGAAGGCAAAACAAAATCCGAACTTGAGGGAGCTGTTAAGTCCCATTTTTTAAATACCGTGAAAATCGAGAACGGATGTTTTACGAACGAACACGTTATGTCTACCATGGATTGAAGGTCACCGTCTACTTCCAGACAACTATGACTCAAAAACATTGAAGAAATTAAAAGCTGATGGCTTATATGAAGACACGGAAATATATTTCAGGATTGATTGAAAGAATGTATCACTGAGGAAGTACCATTGAGTGAAAAAGATGTTCCTTGTCATTATCTGCCTCACAGACGTATTATTAAAGAAAACAGCACGACACGAATCCGACCAGTATTTGATGCTTCAGCAAGGAAAAACGGGGTTACCTAGTCCCAATGAATGTTCAGACAAGGGTCTAAACCTCATAGAACTGATTCCTTCCATTTTTACTAGATTTCGTTTAGACAAAATAGGTATCGTTGCAGTTATTCGAAAAGCCTTTCTCCAAATAAGCCTTTATCCAAATGATAGAAATTTCCTAAGATTCCCGTGGGAAAATAGCAACAATGAATTGAAAATTTATCGTCACTGTAGAGTTGTGTTCGGAGTTTCAAGTAGTTCCTTCCTCCTTGGAGCTGTTATTCAGCATCATTTACAGACAGTTCTAAACCAATGCGTAGAAGGACAGTCCATTTATCCAAAAGAAATTATGCAGAAACTTCTTAGTAGTTTCTACGTTGACAATTGTGTCACGAGTGTGAAAAATGAATCTGAATTATAAACTTTCATAACAGTGGCTTCAGAAGTAATGGCAGAAAGACAGTTTGATTTGAGAGGATGGGAAAATACAGATTCTTCAAGACTTTCTCTTACGTCTACAAATATTCTTGGATTAATACGGAACAAAATGAAAGATACCCTCCAAGTGAATATATCCGGTTTCGAGAATCTTTGTACTGAGAAAATAACGAAAAGAAGTATTCTAGCTGCTGCTCACAGAATTTTCGATCATTCGGGGATTGCTTGTCCAATAACCTCAATTCCTAAACTTCTTTTGCAACATGTATGGAAAGCAAACATCAGCTGGGATCAGGAAGTAGATGCAGATAGAAAGAAAGAATTTTTAAAATGGATGAAAGATGTAACTTTTTTGTCTAAAGTTCCAAGATCGATCAAATTTGGGAAAGTAAATGATAAGCATTCTTTACATGTGTTTTGTGATGCAAGTCAATTTGCATACGCTTCGTATTGAAAAAGAAAATTCAGTGTACATTCAACTTATACAGGCTACAGCAATAATTTCCCCCTGTGGAAAAAGAAGAACTAGCATTGCACGATTGGAGCTTCTTGGTGTTACTATCGCAGCACGACTTTTTGTCAAGCATACTAAAAGATCTTCCAGTTAAAAAGGTTTACTGTTGGACCGAGAAGAAAAGATTTGTGGGGCGTTTTCGTCCAGAATAGAGTAAAAGAGATATTAGATTAGACATCTAAAAAAACCTGGAGATATGTTCCCGGTACAATGAATCCAGCAGATCTTCCTAGCAGAGGTTGTTCTGCACATTTTGCATCTTTGAAATGGTGGGAGGGTCCTACATGGTGGAGGCCTGTCATGGTGGGAGGCCTGTCACTGAAGATATTACATGTGAAGAGGAAGTAAAATGAGAACGAATGAAGAAAATCGTATCCTCTATGTTGACTGCTGGAGTGAGCACTTTCCGAAATTCTCATCTTGCGGATTGTAAAAAAGCAATAAATATCATAGGTTGGATAGAGATTTGTCTACAATTGTCGACATAAGCAAGAAAAGAAAAGAGGGATATTCAGTGTATCTGATATCGATGAAGCAGAGTAAACAATAGTATATTTAATACAACAAGAATTCTTCTGTGGGTTAAGAGATAAGCGATTGCAATCTTTGGACACATTCCTTGATAATGGAATTATACGATTGAAATCAGCTGTACTCAGATGAGATGATCATGAAGAATTTAAAACGCTAGCAATTTTACTAGGAGAACATCCACTTGTAAAAAGTTTGGTGTTAGAAGATCACCGGAGAAATGGGCATGCTGGTGTCTTATACACTTTAAATTTTTTTAGAGAGAAATACTGGCTTCTCTGCGGAAGGAGAGCCGTTAAACATTTATTGAGATCTTGCATTATTTGGAAGCGATTTTCAGCTAAAGGTAATAATCCTCCCACTGCACCACCACCAGCAGATAGAGTTAAAGACGCTGCTGCATTTCAGATAACAGGAGTGGACTGCACAGTGATTCTAAGAGATAACTCAAAAGCTTGGATTGCTCTTTCCACCCGTGCGGTGTATCGTGCCGTCCACCTCGAATTAATAACATCCATGTCAATGGAGACATTTCTAGTAGCTTTTCATCGTTTTGTTGCTCGCAGAGGGAAACCTTCAGTCGTATACAGTGATAATGGAACTAATTTCAAAGGAGTTGCCAGTGATTTTGAGAAAATTTTCCTTGAAGCAAGAGAAGAACACATAACTTGGAAGTTTATACCACCTAATGCTCCTTGGTGGGGAGGTCGGTGGGAGAGACTGTAGGAATGATGAAATATATTTTAAAGAAAACTCTAGGAAGAGCCAGTTTAAGCTACGAAGAAATGATTACAGCTTTATGCAATATTGAGGCTATTTTAAATGAAAGGCCCTTTAATTACAGTATCATCTGATCCAAGTCTTACTCCTTTTACACCAGCAAATTTTCTCAAGGAAATCAAAAGTAGTACCATACCAAACCTTAAAATGAATCCAAATTCAAATAGTTTACTGCGAAGGTTACAATATATTCAAACAATACGGGAAAAAACATTTCGTCAAGAATACTTGGGAGCATTATGTACAAAACAAAGGCATAAAAAATTCACCCCTCCTAAAAGAAGGAAATGTATTTCTCATTGGAGACGAAGATAAAAGAAGACAACTTTGTCTACTTGGTCGAATAGTTAAAGTACTACCAGGAGTTGATGGTATTGTTCGTCGTGCTATTGTAAGGACTCAAAGTGGAGAACTGGTCCGAGCTGTCCAAAAATTATATCCTTTACAACTTTCTGCACTCGAAACCACACCAGAAATAATACAAAATGAAGTAAAAAAAAAATAAATAAAAGAGAACAGGAGAAACAAGAAACTGCTGGCAAAGTATTAAATGAGGACTATCCTGATCGAGCAAAAACAAAAGCAGAGAACCCTGTGACAACTAGCAGTAAAAACTAGCAGTTGTAATTAAAGCACTCATTAAACTGTCATTTTGAAGTGAATAAGTTCTTTTTAAAACTTTTTTTGTGGGATTTCAGTACTTTCTCTGTGAATAATATATTACTCGTAGTATTGAAATATTTGTATCTTATGTACAATACTTAGTAATTATGCATTGTAATAATGCTATGTAACCTTGTACTTAGAATACTTTTTAAACTTTTTAATATTAACAGCTATATTTATAACTTTATATATTTTAGTTAACTTAGATGGGAGTATGTGAAAAATTGTATCTTTCAAAATAGTTACAAACATAAGTTGTTATTTTGTTTATATTTTATTTTTATCTTTGAATAATGCGTGCTGAATTTCATTTTTGACGCATTTGTAATTGTGCGAGTTTTTAGTCATTAGGTTCTGGCAACAGTAAAATATTGCTAAATCTGTCCTATTTATGATGTGTTTTTGAGTTATAAGAAGAAAAGGCATCTTTTTGTGATATTTAAAAATGTACATATTGAGTTTCAAGATGCTTACGTGTTATAAATGTGTTTTATTAAACAACTTGGAGTTTTTGTGAATCCTTATTGACTTTTGAAGTATTTTTGAGAGGCAATTATTTGTCACGATACTTACATTATCAGAAGAATTGCTATATTATCAACATCAGTTTCTTTTCTTTATCTAAATTTATTTTAATCTTAAATTAATTATTTGAATAACATTCAACAGACTTACTACGTCCTCTTCTGTCTTATTAGCTTGTAACATTCCATCCATTATTTCATCATCAAAGTTCTGTAATTCTCCCAGTTTTTTTTTGGTAAAATCTAAAATTTTTATTGCAGTTCGATCACTTTGTTACGAATTTTGCACATATATAAATACCTTTAGTGAAATAATATGTGAAATCGTTGTATTTTTCGTATAATGTCACATAAAAATTTAATAAGCAATGCTTTGTCGGAAAAGTAAAAATACAGTGGCAAGTCTATTTAACATTGAGTAAATGGCTATCTCACAACGTTTTGGAAACTTATTTTTGTTGCCGAATTTGGCGAGAACTCGCCCAAGGTCGCTAAATACCAAGGAGGTTAGAATAGATTCTATTCTAACCTCCTTGCTAAATACAGTGGCAAGTCTATTTAACATTGGGTAAATGGCTATCTCAGTGGTTTTGACAACTGATTTTTCTCGCCAAATTTGGCGACCATTTGGGTTCAGTCCTTGTGTAACTCTTATGGGTATTGTAATAGAATAAATGTAATTGGTCACTATATGCAACTGCAACCATACGGCCCTTAGATTAGCCTTTTAGTAATTTCCAGAAGTACTAGAAATTTCTCGGCAGCCGAGTGATAAAACCAGGGCTGAATATAAAACCAAGGCTGAATTCGGAGTATTGAGATATCGTCGTAGCTTCATTCTTTAGATGCGCTTTACATTCCGTTGTATTTAACACTCATAACAGCTTAAAGTATTACTACTTATTGAACTCTGTGATACTGTGATGAACTGTACGAGAATTTTTGTGGAAAGCTCCAGGACTACAAAGTGTTTCTTTTGGTAAAATAAATTTTAACATGCTGTCATGGGTTCTGTGTGCATTCGGTATATTACGAACCCATAAGCATGCAACAATTTTTGGTGTAAGTAGTCGGATTCACCTCCGGTAACAAGAGCAACTGAAGTGACACTAAAACAGCTGGTGACTGCCTTTGCAGAATTTCAGGAAAGGGTGGAAGCAGCTGTCAACTCCGTCAAAGGAGGGATGCAGGACAAAACCCCGTTAAAGCAGACACGAAAGCGGGCCATGAGGATATCAAACAGTGTCAACTCCGTTAAAGAGGAGATGAACGCGGGCAAGAGAATTCTTTAAGAAGAGATGAAAGCAGATCAAGAGGAAAGGTAAAGAGAAATTACTGCAATAATGGAAAACAAATTCGAGGCTATGGAAGGCAGAATATGCATGATTGAAGATAAAGTTACAGAACTTCAAGAAAGAGTTTCTGCTGTCGGACAACAAATCGAAGACCAAGTTTCTGTTGTTGTCCCCAACGAAGCTGACAGTTTAAAGAAGTCCATAACGACAGTTGGTTACAATTCTAACACCTTTAAATTCGAACATATGTCGTCCTGACTTTAACTCTACAGCTATCCACATATGATGAAGAGACCTCCTGGAAAGTCTACAAGACGCCTTCTCTATAGTGCAAACGCATATGAATGGGATTTCGAAGCTAAAGCCTGTAATCTAGCTCCTTCTATGAGAGCAGACGCAACGGATATCTTTCATACTCTTCCCGAAAACCAGAGGATAGACATCGAAGCTCTATACGGTGCGTTGGAGCTGCGCTTTTGGGTGAACTGTTTGAAAAACTATAGCAGGCTTCAATTAAAATCTCGTCAACTGAAGCCCACGGAAACACTCCAAGAGCTTGCCATGGATGTGGACGTGGATTTAGCTCTTTTCCGGACTGCTCAACGAAAACGAGGGAAATACTGTTCTTACCTTACTATGGCATCTAGGATCCTGATATATAGAAGGCCCTGAGAATGGCGGTTGCGAAGGATTTAAAAAGCGCTTTAGTGTATGTCATTAAATTCGAGGAAGCCGAACAAGGAACAAGACCGCCACTCAATCAGAGCTCCTCATGTCAAGAAGTCAGTGGATCAAGGTGACTGCGCGTTTAGACGATTTAACCAGGCAAGTAAATGCCTTGAGACGCATAGGAATGACAAGAAACCGATTCTAAAGTGCTGGAACAGCGGTACTGAAGGGCACGCACGAAGGAACTGAAGAAGATCCCATGGCACGAAAAAACGATCAGTCCTCAGCAAGGATGCAGGAAACAAATTAGTACCAATCTCGTGGAGCGGATGTTTCGAGAAATTGAGAAACCCCATTTTAAAAGCATTTATGATTTCTCCAATGAGTGACGGCAGTAATGGACTTTTCATCATGGGGCATATCAAAGGAGTTCCTTGCATTATGACCATGCTCAACAGTTGGAAGTTAAACTCATAAGAACGCCAAATCTCGTTACCCTCAATATTGTGTTCGGTGATAAAATCGAAACTTATGGAAAGTTATATGTTAACATCACGTTTGGGAGTGCTGCCTATTATCACACTGTATATGTAGCAGATATTACCGACCGTTGCATACTTGGATTGTACTTTCGAAGGGAATGTAATTTTCCCCTGGATTTTAAAAATAACGAATTGCAATCTGCCTCTGAGGACATAACCCTGTTTAGAATTAAACATGAAGGAGTTCAATCCGTCCAGCTCAAGACAATATGACAGTACCAGTAAGAAAGGAGTTTCTACTTCCCGGATCCTTAGCTGAAAACAGAAATTTCTAGCAAGGTATCATGGAATATCCAAGAACTGAAACAGCCCGAATATTTAAGAACCTAAGAATTCTAAAAGATCGTTTCCACTGGGGGTTTATCTGAGCTAACGGGCACAACTAATGTAGCCGACCCATCTCCAAAAACAGTTTTTTTCCATAGGGCAGCAAGTTAAATAATCTGAACTGCAAGCATAACGGAGCTAGTCAATACAGGGAACTGACTCCGTTAGCTCAGACAAACCCCAGTGGGAACGCCGAAAGGAGTTCTAGTAGCCTCGGCACTCGTCGATCAGCCAAGGGCCATTATCCCGCTAAGAGTTGGCAATATAACTGATAAGGCAAAAGTCATTAGGAAAGGTGAAGTGGATGTAGAATGCACTCCAGTGACCTGCGTTAAATGAAACAGTGGTAATTGATCACTATATGCAACTGTAACCCTATCCGGCCGTAATAAAATACTATAAGCTTTAAGAATCTGTATCTTCGGAGAATCTAAGATAAGAGATATTGCAGAATGCACAACTGAGCAATGAAGAGAGAAATGCTGCAAAACGCTTCATTCAAGAATTTCAAGACATCTCCTGCTTATCTTCTCATGTAGGTCAAACCAGTTTGGCACAGAATAAAATTGATACAGGGTATCTTCCACCAATCAAGCAACATCCAAGACTTTTACATACCGCTTAACAGGAGAAAGTAGGAAAACTTCTAAAGGACATGCAAGAAAGCAATGTCATCGAGTCTTCAGCAAGTCCTTGAGCCTCTCCTATAGTCCTGCTCAGAAAGAAAGACAATTAATTAGATATTTCGTTGACTATCATCGTTTGAACAAGGTTACGAAAAAAAAAACCAGCTACCATCTTCCTAGTATACTGACGTCCCGAATACTGACGACATGCGGGACACTCGGTCTGGAAGATTCGGGATAGATACACTTCCTAGAATGCTGACGTTCCAAATACTGACGACATTCGGGACACTCTTT